TGGAGCTCAGATCGCTGGCCACCATGTTGTGAGGATGCTCAAGCAGCCCCGCTGAGAGGTCAGCATGGCCGGGAACTGACCTCCAGCCAGCACCAACCTGCCAGCACGTGGTCCTCCAGTCCCACGTAAGCCTTCAAAGGACCGAGAGGCCTGGCTGATGTTTTGACATCAATGTCATAGAGATCCTGGGCCAGAATCGCATGGCTGAGGCGCTCCGGGTTTCCTGACACACAGCACTGCTCGCTGTTCTGAGCGGCTGGGTTTGAGATGCTTTGTTATACCGCGGTGGATCACGGATACGGGATGCTTTTGCAACTGGATGCGCAGAGAAGGATCCACAGGGAGGGCATTCTGGAAAGAAGTGTAAGGAGGAGCCCAAAAGGCATTTTGAAAAGAATCCCTCAGCGTCTGGAAAACAGGATCAGTCCAGACTCCGGGGCAGGAGCTGGAAGCCTCAGAGGACCAGGCCCACCAGCCCCATCCGTCCAGGGCCCCTGCTGCAAGCCACATTCCAGACACGGAACTTTCTTGTTCTCGAAAGCACCACCCGTAACAAATTACCACGAAGGGTGACTTAAAATGACAGAAATTTAGTCTCCCCGTTCTGGAGCCCAGAAGTCCAAAACCCCGGTGTGAAGGGCCGCCCTTCCTTTGGAGGCTCCAGGGGAGGCCCCTCCCTCTCCCAGCTCCTGCTGGCCAGCTGCTCCTCAGCCTCGGCAGCACGGCTCCTGCCTCTGCCCCGTCTTCTCCCCTGTGTCTGTCTCTCCTCTGTGAGTCTCCGATAAGGACACTGGTCATTGGATTTGCCCCCCACCCCAAGGTAATCCAGGGTGGTCTCCTCTTCTCAAGATCTTAACTTAATGACATCTGCAAAGATCCTTTTTCCGAATAAGGCCCCATTCACAGGGTCCAGGGGTGAGGATGTGAACACATCTCTTCTGGGGGCAACTACTCAGCTCACTGCAGGCAGTGCACTAGACACCCAAGGGACCCTCCCACTGCAAAAACAAAACTGGGATTCTGGGATCTAAGAAGTGGAAGTCTCCCAAGACCTCTGACCTCTGTGGAGCAGGTGAGCGGTGAGCAGGCAGGAAGACCCCGGCCCCGAGGGCAGATACCCGCAGCTGGGCCCTGAGCCCTGCACCTGCAGCTCTGCGGGGCCCCCACCCGCACAGGCGCAATCCCTCCCAGCACCGTGGATTTAGAGCTACGGGATTCCCATGGGTTAAGGTCAAGTAAACATGAGTTCAAGATCAGACTGACAAGCACGTGGTGGAGACGCAGCACGAGTGACAGAACGGGGCAACACACGTCAGACTGAGACCCTTAGGACCCTCAGACACCCGCCTAGTCGGAGCAGCGAAGTGTAAGTGCAGAGAGAGGCACGAGGGATTCACAGCCCTGCTGCTGCGTCACCTGAATGTGCCAACATCCATCGTGCAAAGTGCAGGTTCCATGTCTGCCCACGGTCCAGTGCCTCTGGGCCTCTGCAGGTTTTGTCCCTCTGCCCGGACTGCATCCTCCCCTTCCCTCCCCCTGCCCCCATCCTTTGGGTCTTAATGCAGACATCACATTCCCCAGGCCCGGCCTGAGCCTGAAGGCATCCACACCTCCCAAAACACCTGTCTGAAGGGAACTGCGTGACCCCTGACCTCAGTCCTAGGTCAGCTGGGCCTGCGGCAGTGGGATGAGCTACGTCTGGATAGCAATGTGCCCAGGGCCCAAGTCTCCATTTCTCCATTTTCCCCGTGACACACTTGTGCCCGAGGCTGAGGGGCACCAGAAAAACCTGGAGTTTAGTTGATCATGAGGCTGCCCAGGGAAAAAAAGACTACATTTCCCTGAAGGCTTTGCAGCAAGAAAGGTCATATGACTAATCTCTGGCCAATGGGATGTGAGCAGAAGAGGTATGCTCTCTAGGTCTTGTCTTTAAAGGGAAAGTCATGCTATTCACGTCTCTTTTTCTCTTCCTCCTTGCTGGAGTGTGGAGGTGATGTTTGGAGCTGGAGCAGCCATTCTGGACTGCCAGACTAACAGAAACCAGGTGTTGAGGAGGTCCCTGAGAAAGCGCAGTCTCCATATCAGCCCTCGGACGCTTACACTCCGAGTACTACATGAAAGAGAAAATACACTTCTCTCCTGATTAAGCCATTTTATTTTGGGGTCCCTTGATAAAACGTGTTATATTTTCACTGACTCTTGGGCCGTTTCCAGTGCTGTATCTGTTTGGTCTGTGTATTGGGTTGGATAGTGCCCCCCACACCCCGCCCGGGTTCATGGTCACCCAGAACTTCAATTAGCAATAATCGCGCCTCGGATAAACCTCCCTGGCTACGATACTGCCACTGCGCAAAGCTACACCCGGAACTTCAGAACGTGGCCGATTTGGAAATAGGGTCTCTGAAGGTCATGTGAGGACACAGACAGAGAAGGCACGACATGGTTCTGAGCAGCGTCGT